TTGTTGTGCTACCATCACCACCATCCAGCCACAGAACTCTTTTTGTCTTGCAAAACTGAAATACTGGACTCATTAAATAATAACGCTCCATCCCCCTGCCCCCAGCCCCTGGCAACTACCATTTGACTTTCTGTCTCTATGAATTTGACTACACTGTACCTCATGTAAGTGGACTAATACAATATTTGTCCTTTTGTGGCTGGCTTGTTTCACTTGGCCTCATCTTCATTTGTATGACTACTATGGATTTTGGTTGGGGGGGGGCACCAAAGCCTGCCCTAGTAGAACTGGGAAGTCAGGAGGGGGCTTATCCCCAGCTGCCCCACTTTCTTGCCCAATCCCTCCCTCAGTTCCAACCTGCCTCAGGTCTCTACTCAGTGGCTAAATGTCCTCGCCCCCCTCATCCCATCTCCTACTTTTCCTGGGAGAGCATTGGATTGGCATAGTGTGGGTCATGTGGCCATCCCATGGCAGATGAGGTGGCAAATGAGACAGGCCACCTCATTTGACAATTCCACCAAGACTGTATATAATAAGGAGGCAATATATTCTCTGAAAGGGGCACTGTCATCTGAAGAAAAGGGCAGGGACACTGGGCATGCAAAAACAACAGATGTGGGGCCGGCCCGTGGCTCACTCGGGAGAGTGTGGTGCTGATAACACCAAGGCCACGGGTTCGGATCCTATATAGGGATGGCCGGTTTGCTCACTGGCTGAGCGTGGTGCTGACAACACCAAGCCAAGGGTTGAGATCCCCTTACCGGTCATCTTCTTAAAAAAAAAAAAAAACAGATGTGCTTGGTGCGCCTCCAACAAGGTTCAAAATGCCTTTCAGCCTTTCCATTCCTCATGGCTTTGGGCTTGGATCTTTCCCCCGGGCCCTGTTTGCAAAGTTATTGATACACTTGGTTTTCATTGAAGTTCTCAGCAACTTGAAAGCCAATGCTGAGCCCCAGACACAGTGTGTGATTGTGATAGGATCCTACACAGGCTGCTCTCAAACACCAGCAGCCTTGAACACAGACTCAGATTTCCTGGGTCCAATCCTGGCTTGGCCATCTCCTGGCCATGTGGCCTCGAACAAGTGACTTCACTGCTTCATGCTTCAGTTTTCTCACCTATAAAATGGTAAAACAATAGTACCTACCTCACTGGGTTGTTTTGAAGATTAAAAAACCTACTTGTGCTAAGTGCCTGACCTACGTCATCTTAACATCACCTGTGCCTGCTCACAGCCAACCTATTTTACATGGCAAAAAGGCGCCTTCTGTCTGGGCAGATGCAGCCCCACCATAGGGCACATCACCCAGCTTGCAGAGCTTGAGCTAGATTTTAACATGCGCTCATGCCCTGAGCTAGGTGGTCTTGTGACTAGCCTGCACAATGGCCTACCGTGCCCAGCCTATGAGGCAGGTATTTGCATACCCCATTTTTCTATGAAGCAATAGTGGTTTAAAGAAGTGGAGCACCATGTGGTAATCAGGTGGTGGGATCACTTCCTACTTGCCTATTTATTTATGGCATGCCAAAGAGGCCAGCCCAATCCTTATGGCCCCTCCACCTGCGTTGTAGACCACTTCCCCTTGTCACCAGCTCATCAGCTTATACCTTATACATCTTCCACAATAGATGCAACCAAATACCTCTCTAGCATCTAACCCATAGATTACCACCAATCTCTAGTCTCTAATCTACTATTTTGATAATCATTTAAAAAACTAAGACATGTTATTTTGAAGGGGGGGCGTGGTGGAAGGAAGGACAGATTTCTATCCAGGTACCAACCTGACTTGGCAAAAAAAAAATTTTTTTTTTATCATTTCAGCAGTCTATTCTATACCTAGACAGCAAGAACTAAAAATATTGTGGGTCTGAGTGAATTCTTCTAAGCTGAAAGATCAGTATTGACCACAGATAGCTCAATATCAGGCAAAGCAGATTCCAACTTAAGAGGTTTTTCCTCTTCTTTCTCATGTGCCCAGGAGTATTCATGGCTGAGTGATGCTAGGGGAGGATGGATTAACTAAAGGTCTCCACCCCTCATTTCTAAACCTTTCCTTTATTTCCCTGGTGAACAGGCAGCAGCCACTGCCTGCTGTGTCCCATTTAACACTGTGATTTGCATATGTGTCATATGATTGTGCAGGGTGGGGAGGAAGGAATTGACTGCTGGATATATACACTGAATGCATTTGTGCATCTCCTTTGTGAATCTGTATATTATGCAGACTGTACGTTTTCAAAGACAGATCACTTGCCAAATTGAGGTACAATTGGGGAATTGAGTTGTTCACAGAACACGAAATATAACTGAGGAGTCCTGCCAGTTATATCCCTGATTTAACTCTCTCCAAGCTTATGTCTTGAATGATGCGATCTCAAAGTTTAGTTTGGATTTGAAACAGGTGCAGCAGAGTCTGCCACCTTGAATGATGTAAAAATCCACAAGTAGAATGATTTAAATTAGCACATATTGAAAGGGAAATTCTCTAAGGCTTGGAACCACCACTTGTCCAGCATACCTCCCACCCAGCCAGGACCCAGGGTACACCAAACAAAAGATGATGAACAGTAATGAACTTGGCCCATGTGCCTCCAAAAGGCCAAATGCAGTCCGAGTGAACTTAACTCCCTGAGTTATCTGCTCAAACAGATTAGATATTTTAACACCATTCTCGGGCCTCAGAAGTGAGCCTGGCTGCTGGCAGACAACCAACACTGTCAAACTTAATTGTTGGATTTGGCTGTTAAATTTGGCTCAGTGTGAGTCTGTGTTTGATCAGATCTGTGAGGGTGCGGGAGGATCCCTGGTGGGAAGCCTGGGTTCCAGCTCAGTGACTTACAGCCTGTGTGACCTTGGACAAGCTATTTCACCCCATCGAGAGTCAGTTTTCTCATCTGTAGAGTGAAGGAACCAGCCCTGCTCTGCTTGTCTTTGTATTGAGTTGCGAAGATCAAATGGGGACTGGAAAAGCAAATGACAGGCATGATTATGTTCATAGGCAGAGCACTGAGTCCTTTCTGCTATCTCTGCCGTCTTCACTCAGTTCTCCTTTTAATTTACACACTGTGGATTTCACCCCTGGTTCTTGCAGCCAAACTCTTTTGAGAGTATCATTTGTAGAATTGGAACTGAGATATTTGTAGTTGCCCTGTTTATCCTCAGAGTCCTCTGGGATGAGGAAAATACTGGAATTATGAGGAAAAATAGACCCAGAGAGATGGTAGCCCAAGGGCACAAAGAATTCCCATCCTGATGTTCTTTCTTTCCTAGATGACACTGACATCTAAATCCAAAACCAAAGATTCTGGTCAAAAGTTAGGCTCCGAGTTCCCCAATCTCCCCCTTCACCTCTGCATCTTCTCCCTCTAAATGAAAGTGCTAAGTTCATGTGTTGCTGTCCTGAGCCGCACTGAGCACAACCTCTTGTATCTGTAGGTGCTGGGCATACAGTATGTGTTCGGTAATATTTATAATAGAGAAAAATAAAAACGGAGCTCTAAAGTTGTTCTCTCATCATCCTAAGTTTCTACAACCACGGAATGAGAATCAGTATTTACTGTATTTCAACAAGTCTGAGATGCACTACTTCTAAGACACAATTTTTTATGTACCAAAGATAAAAACCTCTCTCAGTTAAAGTATGACACAATGCTTCCTTACTGTGTCAATTATAAGACAGATCTTGATTTCATTGAGGTTAAATGTGAAAAAAATGTGCATCTTAAAATAGCTACAATGTAGTATGTTCACCTCTTCTAAGGGCTGGCTGGTTCTCTCAGTTGGTTAGAACGCGGTGTTCTAATACCAAGGCCGAAGGTTCAGATCCCTGAACCAGGCAGCCGCCCCCCACAAAAACAAACAAACAAAACCCCAAAAGGTAAAGCTTTCTCTTTTTGGTCCTAATACACTAGATTAGAAAACTTCAAACTGTCTCATTTTCAGTCTCAGTTCCTTGCAGTTACACATGCCATGTAATCATGCTTTCATATGGTTTAAAGGGGGATGTTAATTCTATTTTTCCTGTGGATGCAGTAATACAAAGTACTTCTGGGCTTGAATATAGTTTAAGGTAAGTGCAGATTATAAAATACTTGTCAGAGCCAAAATCATCATTAATTCCATGGTCTGTTTTTATTACAAGATTTAAAAGAGTAAGAATTGTTTAAGGGCATTTAGCACATCAATTGTGTTTTCTTTCTCCTGAGTAGTGCTTTATATTGTTTTTGTTGTTTTATTTAATGCTTGATTTGGCTGTTTTGTTATTGTTATTCAGTTTATTCTTAGTTCAGGTAAAGCAACTGAATTGTGAGTTTCCCAACCCACAGAGAAATTAGGCGTGAACAGGCTCACATGATGGGAGCACATCACTTGCCTGGGCTAAATATGACATTTTCATAAAGTTCAAGTAGCTGGCCAGTTAGCTCAGTTGGTTAGAGTGTGGTGCTGATAACACCAAGGTCTAGGGTTCAGGTCCTGTACTGAGCAGCTGTCAAAACAAACAAAAAAAGATACATAAAATGCAAGTGGGAATGTGTAGTCTTTCTGGGCAGAGGAACACAGAAATACAGCTTCTATGAAAACCCTCTGGAAGTTTTCTGTGGACCATACTTTCCATTTAGAACGTTCTTGCTCATAAATTCTACAGTTTAGGAAAAGAAAAACTCCATCTATTTCTAGCCTGTTTAGTTACTTTCCCACATTCCTCTGCTCTATAAGGACATTACTTATATACAACAGCAAAGATAATCACACATAAAAAGTGTATTTCTAGGGACTAGACCATGGCCAGGGTGGGAAGGAATGATCCAAATTACTGTAGTTCTCACAAGTGCTTCGTATCATTTCACCACAATGCCTTGCTCCCTGCCCGGGGCCCCAGGCCTGTTGCTGTGGTGATGAGTGTCAGTAGCCATTATGTCGGGCAGGAAACGGGTGGGAAGCTGTTACTGTCTGATCCCTGCTAATGCACATTTTGTCTACTGTTCCCTTCCTGCAGTCTGAGTACCACTATGAGTACACCGCGTGTGACAGCACTGGTTCCAGGTGGAGGGTCGCCGTGCCGCACACCCCGGGCCTGTGCACCAGCCTCCCTGACCCCGTCAAGGGCACCGAGTGCTGTAAGCAGCCATTCCTGCTCCAGGGCCTCCCTGCCACTCAGTGTGGGCCTCTACCCCAAGCCTCCTGCCGTCAAAGCTAGGCCCTTCCTGACAGTGCAGCTGCCTGAACGAATCGGATCTTTCCCCCAGTTAGTTCCCATTCCCAACCCTTTTGAAATTTGCTGCAGAAGTATTATTTCATGGATGCAGATTGGGTATCTGAATTTTTTTTCGTTAAAAAGAAAAAATTGGGGGGCCGGCCCGGTGGCACACTGCTACAGTGCGCTGCTTGGGAGCGCGGCGACGCTCCCGCCAAGGGTTCGGATCCCACATACAGACCAGCCGCTCACTGGCTGAGCGAGGTGCGGGTGCAACACCAAGGGTTGCGATCCCGTTGCCGTCCCGGTCCGGTATGGGCGCAACACTGAGGGTTGCGATCCGTTGCCGGTCACGAAAAAAGACAAAAAGGAAAAAAAAAAAAGAAAGAAAAAATTTTTAATCCCATCAATGGATTAGCATAAGCAATTCCAGCTGTGTGCCACTCAGATTTTTTTTATGTTTGCATACATTTTTTTTTTTTTTTTTTTTGCCTGTGTATTTCTCTCCAGTCTACACTCACCAGCCACAATCAATCATTAGGGAAGATTGTGATTTGTCTTCATTCTTAAAAAGGAAGGCAGAGGGGCCGGCCCACTGGCGCACTGCTGTAGTGCGCCGCTTGGGAAGTGTGGCGGCGCTCCCGCCGAGGGTTCGGATCCCACATACAGACCGGTTCCCGCTCACTGGCTGAGCGAGGCGCGGGAGCAACACGGAGGGTTGCGATCCCGTTGCCAGTCCCGGTCCGGTACGGGGCGACACTGAGGGTTGCGATCCGTTGCCGGACACAGAAAAAGACAAAAAGGAAAAAAAAAAAAAAAAGGAAGGCAGAGAAGATGAATTTCTGCAGAGAGAGACTTTTAAAATGCACTGGGCGTTACTTCAGGGGACAAGAATCTTCCCAACCATGGATCTGACTGTGCAATCAGAAAGATGGTGACTTGCTACAGCTCCCATCCCCACCTCTGTGACTCTGTAGTCGCAACTTTTCTACAGTTGGCAGCTATTTCCCCTGTGCTGTTCTTTTTGGAATGCAAAAGGAGTAACAATAAAAATCAAGGGCTAGGCTGGCAGGTTAACTCAGTTGCTTAGAGTGTGGTGCTGGGAACACCAAGGTCCAGGGTTCAATCCCTATGCGGGCCACCTGCCGAAAAATAAAATAAAAATAAAAATCGGACTAGAATTAAGTAATTACTTGATGAGTTGGAAAGGAGATTGAGGTGTTTAAATTCTAAAGTCAACTTAGCACAGTGTCTGGCTCAATACGTGAGCAAATACTCTCCACATTAATGAATAAATATTGCTGAGATCCGAGCAGAACCCAGGTGTGATTAATGGAAACAAATGAGCCATCTTCAGTTAACTCTGCTGACTTTAAGGAGCTCCTACTATGTATGAGCACTGTAATATGCACATGCTATGTGAACCACAAAGACAAATAAGGCACAGTCTGTCCACAGAAGCTTACAGCTGGTGGAGGAAGCAGACATTCATTCATTCATTGTTTGTGGAGCTCCTGCTGTGTCTGTGCCAGTCACTGAGCCAGCCGTCACTGGAGGAGCTCACAGCCTAGCCAGTGGCGGACCTATACAACGTGGTAATAGAGTGTGAGAAAGAATGGGGGTTCTGAATGCTGAGGGATCTGGAACAGTTGGGAGGACCACTTGAGCAAAAGTTTGGAGGAGGAAGAACAGTGACACATTCAGGAAAGAGCATGTGGTCCACGGGGTGGAGGCAACACAGAGAAGGTGACAGATGGGAGTGAGGTGGAGAAAGAGCTGTAGTGGGAGATCAAGCTGGAAAGTTAGGTTGGGGGCAAACTGTGGAAGACTTGAATGCTAAGCTAAGAGCTTAATTCTATAACCAAAGGGGAGTGCCTGATTATTTTTTTAATAAGAAGAATGATAGTACTTATCAGTGTTTTAGAAATATACCTTAGACCACAGTATAAACAAGAATTGGAAGTAGGGAACTAGTTAGCAGAGCATTCCAATGGTCGAGTTAACAGGTCATGAGAATCCCAACTAGTATGGTGGCATTAGAACCAGAAAGGAGGAGACAGGGGCCAAAGCCAGGGGGGAATTCAAGGCTGAAGGGCTGTGCACCATTCAGGAGTCCGCACAAGAGCCCATGGCATCTTCACTGGAGACCTCTCAGAATGGCTAAGGCACCTCTCCATAGGAAACAAGACTGTCAGGAATAAGCCCAAAGTCCCAGCAGCAGGAAAGAGTGTCCACAGCCCTAAATCTTTTTTTTTAAAATAACAGATTTATTGAGATATAATTTACATGCCATAAAATTCAGCCTGTAGGCCGGCCCGTGGCTCACTCGGTAGAGTGCGGTGCTGATAACACCAAGGCCACAGGTTCGGATCCTATATAGGGATGGCCGGTTTGCTCACTGGCTGAGCCTGGTGCTGACAACACCAAGCCAAGGGTTGAGATCCCCTTACCGGTCATCTTTTAAAAAAAAAAAAAAAAAAGGCCCTCAGTGGGTTTTAGAATATTCAGAGAGTTGCACAACCATCACCACTATTTAATTTCTTTTTTTTTTTTTTTTTAAAGATGACCGGTAAGGGGATCTTAACCCTTGACTTGGTGTTGTCAGCACCACGCTCAGCCAGTGAGCAAACCGGCCATCCCTATGTGGGATCCGAACCCGGGGCCTTGGTGTTATCAGCACCGCACTCTCCAGAGTGAGCCACGGGCCGGCCCACCACTATTTAATTTCAGAGCATCTTCATCATCCTGAAAAGAAACCTCATTATCATTACCCATCTCTCCCCACGTTCCCGCCCCCCAGGCCCTAGCAACCACTAATCCACTTTCTGTCTCTATGGCTTTGCCTCTTCTGGATGTTCAGTATAAATGCAATCACACAATACGTGCCATGGCCCTAAATCTTGGTGGGCCAGACTCCCAGATCCCGACCCTGTGCTCCTCCCTTTAGGGCACCCACAGCCCGTCCACTTCTCCTGGGGCTGCAGTGACCTCACCCCCCCACTTGTCTCTGTCCTATTTTCCAGCCTTCTCTTGTAATGCCGGGGAGTTTCTGGACATGAAGGACCAGTCGTGTAAGCCGTGCGCTGAGGGCCGCTACTCCCTCGGCACAGGCATCCGGTTCGATGAGTGGGATGAACTGCCCCATGGCTTCACCAGCCTCTCAGCCAACATGGAGATGGATGACAGTGCCACGGAGTACACCGAGAACTGCACTTCGTGAGTTTGCCACCCCCCATCGCTAGGGAGGGGCTGCAGGGCGCACTGGACAGCCTCCTCAGGCTGGGCAGGGAGGATGGAGGAAAGAGGAAGCCACGCTGCCAGGGTGAGGGCTGCAGCAGGTCCCCAAAGGACCGTTGGCTGTGACTCCCGCCTCGGCCCACCGTTCCTGACCTAAGCTTCCCAATGGCTGACAGGCATTTGTGAAAGGTGAAATACATGGGGAAATAGAGGCTGGTAGTTAAGGGGGACAGGGGTTAAGTGGCCCAGTCTGTTTCAAACAAAACCCAATTGGATTTCCACCACGGAACTGTGGATCAGCCAGTAAACATCCTCAACTTGATCGAGACACAATGTGCAAGGCATTGGGTATTTTCATGGCTTTGATGCTAACTTTTAAAACTGGTTCTACCTAACCTGAGTTTATGGGTTTTGCGGGGATAGAGTAGGACCAGAGCCTTGGTCAGTTGTGGCTGAGCTCTTCTAAACCATTTGAGATGGCAATGACCAGAAAATTTTCCAGCTCAGATGGAGACCTCTGCCAGTCATTGAAAAGCTCAGCCCGGTTTGCTTGGATAACTGGATATTTATTTCAGATGTGCTTTTTATGTGTTAGGCACCATTCTGGATGCTTTACCTGTATTATTTTCTGTAATCCTCAAAAAAACCCTGTAAAATAGGTATTATTGTTCCCATTACAAAGATGAGAAACTGGGGCCGGCCTGTGGCTCACTCGGTAGAGTGCGGTGCTGATAGCACCAAGGCCACGGGTTCGGATCCCATATAGGGATGGCCGGTTAGCTCACTGGCTGAGCATGGTGCTGACAGCGCCAAGCCAAGGGTTGAGATCCCCTTACCGGTCATCTTTTAAAAAAAAAAAAAAACAAAGATGAGAAACTGGAGGCTCAGTGAGGTTAAGGGATCCGCCCTTTGTTATCTAGCTTACAGCTGGTACGATTGGAATTCAAAACCAATCCCAAGAGTTCTCCTGCCCCATACTGCCACTTTTAAATAACATTTATTGTACGCAAGACAATGTTGGGTCCTAGGAAGTAAAATTGGGGGGTACAAAAATGTGAAAGGCAATTGTACACTGCTCTTTGTTAAATATTGATAATGAGTGCAGGAGGAAAGTAAATGAAAGTTTCTCTCATATACCTAAGCAACCAAATGGGTAAAAGGGACTTAAGAATTGTATTGTTCTTGGATTTCTAAAACGGGGAGCAATGTCTCCCATTTCTATACTTAAATCTCCTGAAAGTACCCATTGTCTGAGCCAAGCAGCAGACATTCAGTAGTCCAATTTTAATGTTAATTTAGAGTTCAATTTTATGTATCAAAATCATTAGCATGACAACGGTGGGGGCAGAGATAAAGCTCGCGAGGATTAGAGCTGGAAGGAGAGCGAGTGTGTGTGCGCTTTAAGACAACCAACCCCAATTCAAGTCCTAATGGAGAATGTCATTTGACCCTGGACAAGGTGTAGACCTGGCTCACCCGATCAATTGCAGTCCATGCAAAGGAAGCATCTCTCCTCTCTCTGGGGACTGTGCTGAGAGTCAGAAAGCACCGTCTCTAAGCGAGGCAGGATGCGGGCCTGGTAATGACAATTTGTGTTTTCCATAGCACAGACTGTTCCAGACCCTGGATCTTAGGGCATCCCATGGCATCCCTGGAAGGGAGGGAGAAGATGTTTCTCCTCTGTAGAAATGGAGAGGAAATGGTCACCTACAGAGGTTTTGTAGTTTCCCCACCATCTCTCAGAAAGGCAATAATTGAGCTGGTACTAAGAGCCCGAATGTCTGGCTTTACAGCTCAACTGTGTATTTACCTGAATCCAGCCCCACTGCTTCCGTCCTAACCCACGCCAGCATCGCCTCCTGCCCGTTCTGCCTGAGGAGCCTCCCAGCTGGTCTCCTGCCTCCTCTAAGCCACTGTCCACTCAGCAGCCAGATTCATCTTAAAACACAAATAAAGATTATAGTACTTTCCTCTCAAAACCCTGGGTACTGTGGCTACCTATTGCCCTTGGGATAAAGTCCACTACCTTCCCACAGCCTATAGGGCCCTGCTGGTCTGGCCTCTGCCCTCTGCCCATTTCCCCAGCCTCTGACCAGCACCCGCCTTCTCCCTTGCTGTGCTCTGGCCACACTGGCCACATTGGCCACCTCGCTCCTTCCCTCCTAGGGCCTCTGAACTCGCTCCTGTTATACTTGACTCCTCCTTACCTTCACGGCTCTGCCTAAAAATCACTTCCTCAAAGAAACCATGCCTGACCCCAGAGTCTGCTGTTACGCACTCTTGTATCGTCATGTTTTTCTCCTAACAGCACTTATCAGTCATTACTACGTGATTAATTGTGTGATAAGTTTCTGTCTCCTCAACTAGAAACAGAATGTAAGCTCCAGGAGGGAGAGGATCAGGTCTGTCTTGTTCATCTCTGTGTCCAGCATCTAACGTAGCATCTGGCACAAAGTAGACACTAATACTGGGAACAAAACAGACCAAATGAACGGAGTCTCCATGGCAGGAGACATTAGTTAGACTTCTGGAGATCCTCCATGGTTCCTGGGTAGATGTCCAGGGCTAAGGTGCTGGAAACAGGCTGAGATCAGAGACTGGGAAAAGCAAGAGGGAACAGGAGTGAAGAGGGAGTAGTAGAAAGGGTGTTGTATATTAGGACACAAGAAAGAGCAGACGTCCAAATTTTATGACGGTGAAACAAGAATGAGAAAAAGAGAGACGTAAACATTAAAAATTAAAAACATTATGTGCAGATCACAGCTGGCTGACCTAGGGTAGGTTTCCTAGTCACCTCTGTGCCTCAGTTTCCTCATCCTAAAAAAGATGATAAAAATGGTACCCTTCCTATAGGTTGTGGTAAGGATTAAATAAGGCGATATATGTAAAGAATTTAGAGCCATGCCTGGCACTAGAAATCAATCGAAATATGTTGTTATTGAACATGAAATGTCTTCATCAGGGACAAAAGTCTGACAAAAGTCAGCACTGTGATGCATTTTGCAAATGTAACCTACATCCTTTTAATTATTCATCAAACTTCAGGAGTTATTTATAGCTGATGCCATGGAGCACATCAGCATTAAATATTCTCTCTTTCAACAAGGAGAAATCAATGCCATGAGGCTAGTTGGGGTATTTTGGATGAGCTCTGCTTATACGTTTCCATTTTGAGAATAACACTGACTATTAAGAGCTGGAAATACCATGTTATTCTGGCAAACACAGGGGAAAACTGTGGACTAATCTGAGGTTCCCTTAACTGGCCACTATTAAGCAATTGGAGACCGGGGCTGGTCTCAGGCAAAACAGTGAAATAGTGGGGTTGTCTTTGATGGTCCATTTCCCACATTCATCTGTTTAGTCCTCTGAGTCCCTCCTACATGGCAGGTCCAGGGCTTGATGTAGGGACACATTAGTTAGCAAATAAATTTGGCCTCTGCCCTCATGGAATCTACAGGCCAGCCAGGAAGACAGACAATTAAAGAGGAATTAAAATAAAGTATAATCAGAAGAGGAAACTCAGATTGCAAATAAGTTAAGATGCTCAACCTCACTAGTAATCGAGGAAATAAGATTTAAAGCCTAATTAGACACTTACAAGTGGTCTTCAAAAAGTTCATAGATAGGGCTGGCCCGGTGGCACACTGGAGAGTGCGCCGCTTGGGAGCACGGAGGCGCTCCCGCCGAGGGTTTGGATCCCATGTGGAGACCAGTTCCCGCTCACTGGCTGAGCGTGGTGCGGGCACAACACCGAGGGTTGTGATCCCGTTGCCGGTCCCCGGTACGGGCGCGACACTGAGGGTTGCGATCCCGTTACCGGTCAGTAAAAAAGAGACAAAAATGAAGGGGAAAAAAAAAAAAAGTTCATAGATAAATTCATATTATTTTTTAATTCTATTTTTTTTTACAAACTTTTTGAAGTACCCTGGACAAAAATGAAAAAAAAAAAAAAAAAGTTCATAGATAAATTCATATTATTTTTTAATTCTATTTTTTTTACAAACTTTTTGAAGTACCCTCGTATTTCCTACCATATCATATTGGCAACAACTTTAAAACCTGACAGTTCCTTCCCCCATGCTTGATACCTAATCAAGCTCCTCTTCATAATTTCCCATCTACTCCCTCATAAAAAAAAAAAAAAAAAAAAAAAACCTGACAGTTCCAAATTTGGAGAGGATGCGGAGCAATAGGAACTCTCGCACTGCTGATGGGTGTCACTTGATACAACCACTTTGTCTTTTTTTTTTTTTAAAGATGACCGGTAAGGGGATCTTAACCCTTGACTTGGGGTTGTCAGCACCACGCTCAGCCAGTGAGCAAACCGGCCATCCCTATATGGGATCCGAACCCGGGGCCTTGGTGTTATCAGCACCGCACTCTCCTGAGTGAGCCACAGGCCGGCCCCGATACAACCACTTTGGAGAACAATGTGGCAGCGGCTGGTAAAGGTGGAGGTTCCCATACCCTGTGACACAGCGGCTCTACTTCCAGGCATTCCACTCGGACATGGTATAAGGAGACAGGAACAAGAATGTTTACAGCAGAGTATGCACAGTAGCCAATAACTGGAAACTATCTAAATGTCCATCAACAAGCAATGTATAAATAAACATGGTAAAGCCATACAGAGGAACATTATGCGGTAGTAAAATGAAGGGAGAAGAGTTATATGTGTGAATATGGATGGATCCCACTATCATTATGTTGAAGCTCTGCCCTCCCCGCAAAAGCAAGTTATAGAACACATAAGTATGATACCATTTACATAAAGTTTAAAAACACACAAAACACTCCCATACAGTGTATTGTTTACAAATTCGTAAGTTTGGCAGAAGAATTTCCAAAGGGCTGGAGTGTAAAGAGTGGGCCAGGAATGTGTACACTATCAGTCACAGGCGTCTTAAGCACGGGAGTGATGTGGTCAGGTTTTTGTTCTGGAGGATCTCTCCAGCCACAGCATAAAGAGGGGCTAGAGGATGCAGGACTGGGTGCAGGGACACAAGTTCAGAGGCTAGTTCAGAAACGATGTGGTGGTGGCCATGCAGAGAGACCTTGGCAGGGTGGATAGAGCTGAGATATATTTAGGATACAAAACAAGCACAACTAGATTGATTGTCTCGGGAGTTCTCTGGCCTTCCCCCTTCCCATAAAAACCATTTACATGCAGCATCTTAAAGTGGACATTTCTGGAAATACAGGTGGACTAGACTGGATGGACTTCTGAGTTTTGAAGAATATCTGTGTCTACTGACTTGCTAGGCAGACCTGGGCTTGAATCTGAGCCCTCCCACTTCCTGGCTTTGTGAGACTGGACAAGGTGCTCTCCAAGCCTCAGTTTCTTCAGCTATGAAGTGGGAAAAAACAGCACTTCCTCTTATTGATGAAAAGAAAGCATGAATATAAAACACGTAGTTCAATACCTGGGAGGTAATAAGCAATCAGTCAATTTATCCACCCCCAGCTTCATCTGCCATATATCTGCTGGGTGGTTCTGCGTTATGTGGAGGTACACCTGTCTTCCTCTTGCTGGCTGTATCCCAGGCTTCTTGATCTACCTTAGAGCTTCTTTTGTCATTTTTCTCTGACCATTTTCAAGTCCAAGCTTTGGCTTGTGAATCACAAGTCTGGAATTCCCCAGAGACCTAGCAAAACATGAGACCTGCACAGGCACGAAGCCTGGTAGACCGCACTCCTGCCAGTGAACTTGGTTCTTGTTCCCTCACAGGTCCAAGTGGGTCCCCCGAGGCAACTACATCACCTCCAACACGGATGAATGCACAGCCACGCTGATGTACGCCGTCAGCCTGAAGCAGTCCGGCACTGTTAGCTTCGAATACTACTACCCAGACTCTACCATCATCTTTGAGTTTTTCGTAAGTCCCTGGCCAAGGGGGAGGGTGGGAGGTAAAAACTCCCTGAGCTCAGATTCATTTCCGGGAATCAATCACAACCATAGTCCCTCTTGGGCAATCACAGTTGTCTTCCCTTTGGAGAGAACTGTGGGCGAAGTGAGCTGAGATCCCCCCAACCCGCCAGATGTCAAAAAAAAAAAAAAAAAAAAAAAGGGGCG